GCGTTGAAAACTGGGGAAATACATACAAAAGCTCACTTCAACCATTGTATATATTACAAAAAAGAGCGATAAGAATTGTGCATAAGATGGGATATAGGGATCACACCAATGTAGCTTTCATAGAGTTTAAATTGTTAAAACTTTTTGATTTAGTGGGATATAAGACTGCTGTGTTTATGTATAAAGCCAGGAACAATTTATTACCTGGTGGAATTCAAAAACTATTTAATGAAAGGGAAGGGGGATACAACTTAAGGGGTCAGTTAAATTATAAAATTCATGCTATACGTACAACCAAAAAAAGATTCTGTATTTCCATAAGTGGGGTAAAACTATGGAATAATTTAAGTGTGGACATAAAAAACAGTAAGAGAATTGATGAGTTTAAACACAAATATAAAGGTATGCGTCAATCAAGATATGGGCAAGAACAGGCTTAACGATTAATCAGGTGTAACATTGTGAGTGTGGTGTATAATTCTACTTGTGTGATGTAGAAGATAATTATCAAAGTATGTAATTATGTAAGAATGTTAACTATCTGTAATAATTTTTTTTAGTATATCACTAGCGCGGTGTAGAACAAAATTATCTATGTAGTAATACTGCTTGCAAACCAATGATGATAAGATGATGTTAGGGGGTAGGACTAGATAAGTCTAACTTCTTCCTACTCCGTTCAAGCATGTACTAGGTATAAGCAAATTGAAAATATATTTGTGGATATGTGTGGAATTATGTGTGTTTACATATTGACTGTTGTGACATGTTTGAAAGAATAAATCAAATCAAATCAAAGATGATCCTTAATTCAGATGCATACCCCTCATTCCTTAGGTTATAGAGCTTGTAAATTTGTATGGCAACAAACAGTGGGCAATTGTAGCCAAGCATCTGAAAGGCAGACTGGGGAAGCAATGTAGAGAACGCTGGCATAACCACCTCAACCCCGATGTGAAGAAGTCCTCGTGGACTGCAGAGGAGGACCTCATCATCTACAAGGCTCACTGCTTTCTTGGAAACCGCTGGGCTGAGATTGCAAAGCTGCTCCCTGGAAGGTAAATACAGGCCCTCTGGTCAGCTCAGAGGATGAAATACTTGACACGGTTTCAAGGATTCATGTTGTATTATTTATTCACAGGACAGACAATGCAGTGAAGAATCACTGGAATTCAACCATCAAACGCAAGTTAGAGATGGGCTTCTATGCTGGGGAAGTCTTTAAGCCTAATGAACTTGAAGAGCTGTTGGCCTGTGTTAATAAAGATGTACAGGTTGATATCTTTCCATGATGTTCGGCTCTAAGATGGATACATTATTCAACTTTATGAACTGTACTGAACATGCTGTTTTCTGATTACACAGATGCCTAGTTGCTCGCAAGATATTTCAGATAAGAATCCAGAGCAGAAGACACATCTTTCAGTAAGCGACCAATCTCATCGAGTTTAAAATATAGGCAGGCTTTGAATACTTTCATCTCTGTCAGCAGATTTGTTAAAAATAAAATCTACAGAAAGAATATCTGCATTACACAACAGTAATTATGTTTGTAGTGTTAGCATTGTTACAGATGTCTTCTTCTTTATCAGTTGCTGGAAGCACCGATCTCAGCGCTTGTTGAAGCCACCTCCAGTGAAGCAGGGCCATCAAAGATTCTCGCGTCGCCAAAGGACAGCTTGAGCCCCAAGTCTGAAGCAGACACTTCTGGAGATGTTAACATGACCAGCTGGGTGGTAGACAGCTCTGGGCTTCTCTCTCCCAGTGGCCCAGCACTGAAGGAAGTGCTGGACATGGTGGATGGGGTAAGTATCGCCAGTCATCTCTAGTACCACCCACACAGACATACCTGCAACAGAGTATCATGTAAATTGTATATGTACAGTCAGTGTGGAGAGTTTTCAGATCAGGTTTTCCACATTTTGTAATGTTTTAGACTCATTCTAAAATTGATTCAATTCATTTTTTTTGATACTGTGGAACAATATTCCACAATGATAAAGTGAAAACAGTTTTTGGGTGATTTGAAATTTTGTTAAAATAAAGGACTTGTGTAAATGGGATATTATATATTATACAAGTATTCAGACCATTTGTTTTGATATTGCTTAGTCATTGAGTTGTTTCTGCAGCTTGATTAGAGTCTACTGGTACCTAATTCAATGCACTGGATATCATTAGGAAATGCACACACCTGTCTGAAAACCATCAGTGCAGCATTCCACCATTCAGGCCCTTATGGTAGAGTGGCCAGACTGAAGCATTCCTCACTAAAAGGCACATGATAGCCTGCTGGGAATTTGTCAACAGGCACCTGAAGGACTCTCGGACCTTGAGAGACCTGATGAAACAAAGACTGAAATATCTGGCCACAATTCCCAACAGTGTGTGTGGAGAAGACCAGGCCCTGAGCATCACCTCACTAATACCATCCCTGCAGTCAAACACGGTGGTGGCGGCATCAGGTTTTTCTGCCAATGGGACTGGGAGACTAGTCAGAATGGATGCAGATACTTGTGTAAATGGGATAGTTCTGTCTTTACAAAACACTCCAAAAACCTGTTTTTACTTTATCATTGTGGAGGATTGTGTGTAGATTGATGAAGGGGAAAAAATAAATTAAGTCAATTTTAAGATGAGTCTGAAACATGAAATGTGGAAAACGTTAAAGGGTCTGAAATCTTTCTGTATTGCCTGTATGTATGCAATAGCTGGGCATTCTTCTGTTTGCTTGTTATACAGCATCTGGTTTGATCTAGTGATGGCAAATTGTATTGAGTTTAAAGTTGAATTATTTTCTAATTACATTAATTTCTAATTGTCTTAGTTATTTGTGTTATTTTATGTATTAATTACTTATATTATTGTCATAGATCATAAATAAGCCTCCTATGTTAGCATTAGTTTTAAAACTATATACATTTACATTGGCCTTTTAGACCATTACAGACTAATGACTGTATATATAACTGAAACAAAACATCTGTTTTACTATCAGGATCTCGATGGCTGGTGCAATCTAGCAGCATTTGACCTGCCTGAGGACAGTCCAAGCCCAGATCGTCATCAGTTTCGTCTGGAGGGGAGCGCCTTGCAGGAGCTGAGCAAGTGCAGCAAAGGGGAACTTATCCCCATCTCTCCAGGAGGGGTCACGCCGCCAACCATACTGAACCGCCGAAACAGGAGACGCATTGCTTCATCTCCCAATACCAGTAACTCCATGACTCCTAAGAGCACTCCTGTCAAGATCTTACCCTTTTCACCATCTCAAGTAAGCCACTACTGGTAATACTGCAGTACTGAGAGTGGTGTTGCTCATAATGTCACATGAAGTGGTTTGTTAACTAGCATATGTTTCAGTTCCTCAACATGTGGACCAAGCAGGACACTCATGACCTGGAGAACCCGTCCCTCACATCCACACCTGTGTGCAGCCAGAAAGCCATTGTTACTACGCCACTACAGCGAGATAAGACCCCCCTCACTCAGAAGGAAAACTCAGTGTAAGTGCTGTCTAACTCGTGTCTGATTGTTTGGTCTTCATTTGGCTTATGTTTTATTTTAAATTCTTAGTGTCACATTTTGTTTTTATGTAGATTTGTTACACCCAACCACAAGTCTGAACTCTGTATGACTCCAAGAACTCCGACACCGTTCAAAAACGCCATGGAGAAGTATGGTCCTCTGCCACCTCTGGTGAGTATTTGTGGTGTTTATCGAGTTCAGTTTTCTCAGCAGTACATTAATGCTGTTTTTTGCTGTGCTGTCTCAGCCTCAGACTCCAAACCTTGAAGATGACATAAATGAGGTCATCCTGAGAGACTCTGGAATCAACTTGGTCGTCGTACGTTCGACTCCACCTGAGCAAAGACGCAAAACACTGGTAACTATGAGTCACCTTAATATGGCTGTATAAAAAATACCAATTTTATGTTTAACTGTGATTCTTGTTTGAATGATTCGCTATCAATTCTTACAATGCTGAGACTGATGTTTGCATTTGTGCCTTTTCTTAGTAAACATTCATTGATACTAAATGCTACATGTATGCAGAGGTTATTTGTTGTAGGCGGTTCAGTTTGAGCTGCACTGTGTAAAATATCTGTGGGAAAACTACTGTTTGTATCTGTATGGGATAGCGTTTATTTTTAAAAATTATGCATAATAATGATGCCCTTGTTATCAGTGCAAGGTTTTCATTATTTCATTAACTGTTTTGCACATCTACCTAAAAATTATGTCATGTTTTAGTAGTTTTGCATTTACAAATCCTTGGTCCACAACATTAGAACCAGGACATGTGTTAACAATTTAGGCTAATATGTGACATTTGAGTCGTATTATACTCAAGGAAACAACAGAATTGCTCATTTTGTTTATGTTCCAAGATCCTGAGAAGCTCTTTATGCAACATTGGTATTTATCTGATTTAAATTAATCATCATGAATCAATCAAAATTGAATAAAATCATGTGATTAGTATCAAAATGCAGCTCTAATGTGTAACACCTATTTTAATACTTTAACATTTATACCTATGGCAGCTTCATCTGTTTTTAGCTCCACACTGCTTCACATTTACAACTTCACACCTTGGAGCTATGCATTAAAATGACAGCCTTGTTCTGTTGATCAGCAGGCAGCTGCGCAGCAGTAAGTTTGTGTTCTGTTAGTTCACTGTGTGGGAAAAAAAGCAGCAGAAAAAAGTTGGATCTAGTTTAATGTTTTCTATAATACTAGCCCTAGCCAGATATTTGTAGGCTGCTACTGCCATGGTCACTAGAATGTTTTGAGCCTATTTTTATGTTTCAGCTTCTACATGAGAACTTAAACAGCCTAGGAACACCTCAGTGCTTGCCTCCTTCCATGTTTGTCTGGACTTATTGTTAGTGCTTTTAGTTCAGACAATAATGACAGTTCATCATAGAAAATGTCCTGAAGCTATTTACACACATTTTGGTGTTCTCTGTTCTTTTTAATTACCAGCATCGCCCTCCTATGAAGAAAGTGCGAAAGTCACTGGCCTTAGATGTCTTGGACTGCCATTTGCTGCCTTTATATAAACGCAAATCCATAAAAACTGAAGCCAAACAAAGCATTAAGGTAAAAAATGTACTGAATTTGTTTTTAGCCTGTCCATAGATTTGACGCATCTCAAATTATCACTAATTCTTGGCTTTTTTTTTTGACCACAGGAAGAACCTGTTGTAGCTCCTCTCAGCTCCTCATCATTTTGTAGCAAGCAACATGAAAATATTTTGGATCAGGGCTTCCTTTTGGGTCCTAGTGACAGTGCCATGTTTCCCAGCACTATGCATCCAGTTCCAGTGAGTTCCTCCTTTAACCTTAAAAGGAAAGAATATCCTCATCAACAGAAAACTTACTTTCCTTAGCTTTTTTTATGTTGACCTAATTCTGCTGCAATATGTTACCTCTTTTCAGATGTCAAAAGAATGGGAGACAGTTGTTTGTGGACAAACTAAAGATCAGCTCATAATGACTGAGAAGGCCAGACGCTACCTTCGCTCACTAAAATCCAATGCACCCAGCCGGGCTCTGATTCTCTCCTGAGGCGGTGCTCATCTTTACAACACAACATGTTAACACAGAGAGAACTTTATATTAAAATCAGTTGCAGTGCTGGGGAAAAAAAGAATATGTCATGTAGGTTTAGTGCAGTTTTCGAACAGGTGATTAGCAATCAAAACATTGCATTGTGTAGCTCTGTCAATAATATGCAAGAGAATGATGGTTTTAGATTTACTCTCTCTCCAGTGGCCTTGTGCTAAGCTTGAAGATTGCATTTCATTCTATTGTCACTTGCATTTGAAAAGAACAAAAAAATCACTGTGATACACTTTTGTTATCACTGAAAAGACATAGTTTTATATTGCATAATGTATCTGTAATTTAACTGTTTTAAAATTGAGTACAAACCCTCAGGTTGAACCTTCATACCTGAATGTGTTATATAACATACTGTAGTTTTGATTGTGATCAGTCATATGTCTTGGGATGAGTGATCAACGTTGAAAATGTTAAGTGGACATTGTCTTGTAAGATTTGTTTAATATACTGTATGTATCAATTGATAATATAGATTAAGCCTTAGAATTTCACACAGGGTAAATATTACATATGTTAAAAATACAATAGCGATTGCAGCACACATCAGTAACCTATCCAGGTGACATTCAACTTATTAAGATCCAATGTGGGGATGAAACAATTGGTTTTACATGCAATACTGAAGTAGCTAAGGTGTAATGGTGACATGGAAACTATACCAACTTTTGATAGCCGTGGTATTATGTTATTTGGCATTTGTAAATAACATTTTGTTGAGAGATTTAATAAAACACCAATAATATTGTAGCACTGAATGAGAGACACTTGGCAGAATCCCCAACGCTTGAGGGATTTTGTGATGGCTGTGGGTTACCGGGGACAGTTAACAATCAATTTTTTTGATTATCTATTCACCAGAGGTCCGTTTCAAGAAGGAGGTGTAACAAACTCAGAGTTTAAACCTGAACTCTGAGTTGACTTACACAGAGTTGGAAAACTTGGAGTCTTCCTGCTTTAGTGCTGCATAGAAGTGCTCCTGTAAGTGTGTAGTGCATGCATTGAAATAAGTGTATAGGGCATACATGTACTTACCACATTGCAGCCTGTTACTTAGGGTTGACTCACAATATATTCGTGAGTCATGAACAGAGCCGGGCCACTTGGCCTCCACGTTTGTGATAATATGTGCAGCATCACATATGATCTTGGCGGTGCAAAAAATGATACATGTCAGTTACATTATTGTGATGTAGTCTTTGACCATTAGAAAGAGTAGTCTGTGTACCTGCACATTAATACTGTGGATGGACCTCCTGTTGACATAGTCCCCTTCATTTTCAGAAGGTGCATTGATGGGAATATGTGTGCCATCAATGCATCCAGCCACATTTGGAAATCCTGAAGGGGATTCTAATTATTAGTTTATTTCCAGAGGTCACAGCAAGATGTTATTAACTGATCATCATTTTTCAGATTAGCCTTACTGAAACCTCTGTTTCGAGTTTTCCTCATTTCGGGGTTAACAAACTCAGAGTTTCAACAAAACCTCCTTCTTGAAACGGGCCCCTGATGTTGCAATGTAATAATTAAGAGAGGGAAATATGTTTACAATTTCTCGGCTACATGCAGTCTTATAAATATCAGGTCCAATTGTAGCTGCTAGGGAGACGTGCACTACAAGCGTGGATGAAGTGTGGGTACCACGTACCAAGTATACATGTCGCAGCCTATGACAGTAGACGCCAAGTGTTGCAGACATTCTAAATGGTTTGAATTATATTTACTCAAGTTTATCATATAAACACTATTGCCTATTAATTGACATAACTAATAATAACTATTATTAACTGAAAATTATATGTCAATAACTGAATATTTTCGACGTAAACTTAAAAATAAAAGTCGAATTGCGCTTTTAACTTGAAATGTAAAATGGACAACGGGATGTTATACGTCAGGTGCGTAATCACCGGAAGCGGAATCTTCGGTTTTGGTGACGCTGCATTAGATTTAGAGACATGGACCGGTGTGGTAAGTAAATTGGCTAATTAATATCATGTTTCACATATATACACACGTATATATAAGTGTTTTTGGTTTTTATTACGTTGTGCATGCTATTCTTGACCTTCCAGTTTTAGAATCCCATGAAAAATACACCGCCCGGTGCAGGCAGTACGCTGCTTCCTAGCTTGCTCGCCTTTTAGCTAAACCTGTAGTGAACGAGTGAGCATTATCTTAACGAATGAATGCCGTCTTAATGAACGAATACCATTCTCCCAAAATGTTTTTATTGATTACTCTTCTCGGTGTTGATCGTTAAACACGTTGCGACCAGCTGATAGGTTAACCGCTGTGTGTCCGCAGGGCTGTTCGGCTTGTTCATCCTCAGCCTGGCTCTTTCTGGAGCTCAGGCGGTCACTCCAGCACATCACCTCTCCTTGTCGGATGTTGCCCGACTGCAGAACCTCCTGAGCCAACAGTTTACCGACCTAGAGTCCGCATACTACTCTGTTGTTGGTCTTAAAAAACTTGGAGCTGTTATTTATGATCACAAGGTAAGAAACTCTGTCGATTGTGTGGTTATTAATTGTGATAGAGGAGAAGACTGAACTCTTGAATTAACCATTTATTTATATTTCAATTATATGCATGCATCACAGGGTATGTTGATCATCAGTGCTCTTCGTCATTAAAAATGTTTTTGCTTATAGGAAGTATGCCAGTTCCTAAAATCCCAGCTTGATCCCACCAGTGTTGACTCTCTCTTCTTTGCTGCTGAGGCCAGTCAAGCCATTTCAGGGTGCGAGGTATGAAAATGTTGTTCTTGCCTTGGCCTTAATACTCAAACATTGTTTGCAGTTTTAAAAAAAATTGTTTGGTCAATCTAGATCCTTGTATTTGCTCTGCGGTGAAGATATTAATACAATCCTCCATATGACTACAATGATAGTAAAACAACTATAAAAGATATGTAACTTTACCCAAACACCAACATGGCAAAGTGGACAGTGCTTTGCTATAATGCAACCCCCAAAGTACCAAACTGTTAATAGGAGTTTTTGTTCACTTCATAGATTCCTGTGTCCAACGAAACCCGTGATATCCTTCTGGCTGCAGTTAGTGAAGACTCAACCATGACTCAGATTCATCGGGCGGTGAGTGCACTCAGTTCTCTGGGGCTTCCTCTCGCATCCCAGGAAGTTGTAGGTGCCCTGACAGCTCGCATCAACAAGGAGGACAATGTTATGGCGTAAGTGTTTCTCTGTTGATTTGGGAGTGCAGTTACATTTTGCATGGATGGTCCTGCAGCGTTCAGGAACAAAAGATTTGAACAAATGTATGTTTTCTTGATACAGCATCACCTTAGCTCTGCAAACAGCAGCACGCCTGTCCCAGCAGGCAGAATTCGGAGGAATACTGGAGGAAATTGAGGTGAGTGTTTTATCTTCCACCAGGTGGTGCTGTGTCACTGGTTTTTGACCTAGAAGGACAACCCAAAGTCTAATTATGCATAGAGAATAAGGTTTTAATACATTTCTAATTTTCTTATTTCAGGATCTGACAGCTCGTTTGGATGACCTTGGTGGCATCTACCTCCAATTTGAAGAGGGACTTGAGGCCACTGCCATGTTTGTAACCGCTGCTTATTCTCTGTCAGACCATGTAGACATAGAGCCCCCTCTCAAGGAGGTATGATTTGTCATGTGCTAGTTCAGCATAAAACATATATCTGCTTGTGCCTTGGTCTCTGAAACTGAATGGAGATATGCTTTCCCCACAGGACCAGGTCATCCAGCTGGTGAACTCTATCTTCAGCAAAAAGTCCTGGGACTCTCTAGCTGAGGCCTTCAGTGTGGCAAGTGCTGCTGCTGCTCTCTCTAACAACCATTTCCATGTGCCCGTCGTTGTCAGTGCTCAGGGCCCAGCTACAGTGTCCCACAGCCAACCAACCCTGCAGGTACATAGTTGTTGGCTCCCCCCCACTACAGTCCTCTGCATGGTTTTCAGTAAACTCATAGTGATGCTGTTTTTCTGTCTGATTCACAGCTGCTTGTTACTGATGTCATGTCTCAGCCTCTGGCCTCGGCCAATGTGCTAGTGGAATCTGCATACGCTGTGGCCTCCAAGAGCATCATTCTCAGCCAAGCACCATTCACACTTAATGAGTATGTATTGTTAGAATGTTATCATTACATTATTCACCCAGGTTTAACACATCTTGACAGTTATCTTACAAGTATAGAAAGTATGTGTACCTAATCTTTCATCTTCTCATTGCTCTGCTGACAAAACCTGTTCAAAGGAATGTAGTCTGAATGTTAATGCAAGTAATATCATCACACAGGTAATAAGGTGTTCAAAGGAATGTAGTCTGAATGTTAATGCAAGTGATATCATCACACAGGTAATAAGGATAATAAGGGTAATCATCTTTATTTGGCCAGGCATGCTACACACACACACACACACACACACACACGGAATTTGTTTCCGGTACAGAACAGGTGTCTTTGTGTGTACTTGCTGAGGTATTTCATTGACTGTCTACTGTAGATTACATTTAACTAAGCACATGCAGAGGTGCCAACATTATTTATTTATTAATACATTGATCTGTTAATCAGTTGCTTGCTATAAACATGCACTGTATCTTTTTGCCCCTGATTTTCATTTCAGTGGGGTCTTTGAGCTAAACTTCATGTCCAGCCAGCCAGCCAGCGGATATTACCAGTTTACTGTTGCAGTGACCGGGGACAATAGACTGGTTGCCAATCATGTTGAGGTGAGGTGGTGCTCAGTAGCTGAGACTTCATTAAACTGGAATAGACAATGTATGTATGAAGGTGAAGTAACAACTGCAACTACTAGGCTTAAATGAAGCTTTCACCAGGATCAAATGGTTATACAGCAGTGTTATGAAGAATTTAAAGATGAGTTGACCTGTTATGCTTCCCACATTGAACTGGTCTTTAAAAAAGAGACAAATACCACTCAGCAGGAAATAAACACAGCTATGCTGAAAGAAGGCAAGGATAAAATGTAATGTGAATCATTTTAGACCAATATCTGTTTGTAGATTTATCTCTGTCATTTCCAAACAATTAGAATTCTTACCCCCACTGAGGCATAATGATCAGACAGGTTTTATACAACTAAATGCACAGCAAAACTGTCAAAATGCAACTATTTGCTTATACATAAATATTCCTTTTTTAGTTTCGGTTTAAGAATGGAACCCATTAAGATCAATATCTTGCCCAGATAATTATACTGCTTTCAGACCCTACCAATAGAGATTAACCTTTTAAACCTGATTGCCCCCTGTACAGGGGGCTGTCGGGCTTAACGGAAAATACGGGAATGCTACGCGAGTTGTGATAGCCGACCCCCAACAATGTATACATCAAAATGTTCAGCGAAACCGCGGCTACAACGTCATATAAACCATTTTTCCACACAATAAACACAGCAAAAGCAATAAAGCAGAATAAAGCAACATCTCAGGTCCACTAGAATCAAAGCCAATTCAATGAATGGGACAAATGTTATCAAGGTATATGGCAAGGTACAAGGGTTTGACTCAAAACTCTGCAGTTAGCCACAGTAAAGCAGGATGGGGCCTACCTTCTCATAAAGATTAATATTTAGCAGCACAGATGAGCATTATGATTTGCTTGTGCAACCCATCATATGACACTGAAAAAATATTAGAGGGGAATACCTTCCATCCCCCTACAGGCAGTCATGACTGACAATTACCTACAAAATACATAAATACTATTGATAACCCATGGGTGAAAGAGAACATGGAAGACTATTATAAAATAATATAAACAGATGGGAGGTATTGTAATTCTCATATAGTGTACATATGACTCAGATTTTATACAGAATAAACTGGATGTCAGAATTAAGGACTGGACAGGTAAAGGAATAATGGTTATATGCAGTAAAAAGGAATAATGTTTAGTTTTAAATTGCTTAAACAAAACTTCTGTTGGTATAAATGTCAACTCTGGGAAACGTACTAGGTGTAGATTTGTGGCAAACATGAATATATGATATGTACAGTGCATATAGTATTTAAGATGGTCATTGGATGCTGATTTTCAATTTAAGAAAATAAAGAATGGACCATGTATATTTAAATTATTAGACAATGGTTCTTTTTATACAGGTGGTCATACAAAGTGTTGTTAATTGACTTGGTGGAGATGCAGCAAATGAGAACATGCTCTTGTTGAATCTGGATGTTAGAGGTTGTGGCTGCAGCCTGTCTTAGAATGGCAGTCATTCTGAATATGATGGTAGTGACTCTTTGTTTAGGGATTTGTGTGCTGTTGTCATGTCTTTAATGGATGTAACTTCGTGCTCCCGCTCTTCACCTGTAGCTCAAAGTGAAGGTGTCCACTGAGGTGGCTGTTACTAACATGGACCTCTCTGTGGTGGATAAGGACCAGAGCATCGGCACAAAGACCACCCGGTCAGGAAACCTTTGATAAGTGAAGCCCTTTCTGCTGATTCTTAGCAGCATAGCAGAGGAAGACTAAATGCTTTTCTCTTTTGAAATGACAGAGTGGACTATCCTTCCAAAGCCAAGAGCTCCTTCACCGCAGACAGCCACCAAAACTTTGCCATGTCCTTCCAGCTGGTAGATGTCAACACTGGAGTGGAGCTCTCCCCTCACCAGGTATGTAATCAGGGTGGGACATGATCACACATCACCAGCAAACTACTGGAAAAAAAATCTGTTCATTGTTGCTGACTTTATCCGTTTTCATAATCACTTATATGACCATACAGCCATTATGTTATAATTCTGGTTGGCTGCCCACTGTGAGCAGTTAGCAGAGAAGTAAGCTCTCACTTCTGTTTAAGCTGAAGACTTATTTGTTCTCTCTGTCCCAGACATTTGTCCGGCTACACAATCAGAAAACTGGCCAGGAGGTTGTGTTTGTGGCCGAACCCGACAACAAGAATCTGTACAAGTTCGAGTTGGATACAGCGGAACGTAAATCAGAATTTGACTCTATCTCTGGTACCTACTCCCTCTACCTCATCGTTGGGGATGCCACCTTGGAGAATCCCATCTTATGGAATGTGGTGAGTCATCTGTTCAGACTTGGTGACGATAATGAGATTTAATTTCTGATGTTGCATGTTCAACAAGTGAGAAGCTGATATTGAGCTCTAAAGTGGAGATGTAATCTTTTGAAAGGCGGATGTTGTGCTGAAGTTTGTGGATGAGGATGCCCCAGCTACCATTCAGGCAAAGACTCTCTATGTACCCAAACCAGAGATCCAGGTGATAATTCTGTATCCTTTGTTCATGTTTGATTTATTGCTTGATGACAGAGTATCTAACAGCATGCAGTAGATATCAGTCCAGCAGTTTAAAATCTCCTCTTGTCTCTGCAGCACTTATTCAGGGAGCCAGAGAAGAAGCCTCCCACGGTGGTATCCAATGCTTTCACTGCACTCGTCTTGTCTCCCTTCCTGCTTCTACTCATTCTGGTAATATTGCAAACTTTATGCAAAAAGATTCCTGTACTGCTCTGTTTTTAGCCATAGAGCTAGGTGTATATATGAAAATCATTTAGAAACCATTTATCTTAGTTAATGGCACACCCAAAAACTAATGTACTTCCTTTATTAATCACAATTTTTTTTTAACAGAACATGCAGCTTTGTTGTTATTGTCATATAGACAGAAAAGCTCTTCAGTGGAAAGCCGTCATACACAGTGAATGAGGCTCCAGCACTGCATCAGTAAAATACTTGTTTTAATTTGAAAGCACAAAAGCGATGGTGCATTTTTTTCCTTGGCATTTGCAGTGCTGAGTAATAGTTATTGTTACAGTAGAGCAGTACACTGTGTATTCAGTGGCAAACAATTTTTTAGCCCTTTTGTTAGCAGCTCTTGCAGGGGATGAACATCACATTGTCTTTTATTGGCTCTCTCCTCTGTAGTGGTTTAAACTCGGAGCCAACATCTCCAACTTCAGCTTCTCTCCTAGCTCCATTCTGTTCCATGTGGGACACGCAGGTTAGTCCTAATCTTTGAAATTAAATGTTTCACATATGATTGTTTCACAGCTCTTTATCTGCTATTTGTCTACTGTTGTTCAAGATAAGAAGTGAATTGCAATAATGGCTGGGCGATGTTGTATACAGTCATAATTCATTTTAATCATGGATCAAATCTAGATGCAAAATGTCCCTCCAACCTGATTGGGGTGTCCTGGTTAGAGTATGGATCAGGCCACATATATTTCTGTCCGAACCTGAGAATGTGGTGACCAAACCACTATTTCCCATTCACATACACAAATGCTCACACATTCACACACACCAGTGTTATCACTGGGAACAACTAGGGGTTCAGTGTCTTGCTCAAGGACAAATAGATGCCAGATTGTAATGGAGGATTGTTCGACTGGTGGATAAAGAACCTCGATCGATGTCCAAACTAATTCAGCCTGACCTACAGGACCAGAGTGTAAAAGTGTCAGTTCGCACTATCTGTCTCAATCTGAATGACAAGGGATGCTATGGTAGGAGACCCAGGGGGACCCACTGCTGACAGAGACATAAACAGGCCAGATTGGAGTTTGCCAGTGAGCACATCATTCTACTGTTTTCAGAAAAAGAAATGAGGCCTTCAAAGAAAAGAACATGGTCCCTACAGTCAAACACGGTGGAGGTTCACTGATGTTTTGGGGTTGCTTTGCTGCTTCAGCCACTGGATGTCTTGACTGTGTGTCTGGCGCTGTGAAATCTGAAGACTACCAATGAATTCTGGGACACAATGTGGGGCCCAGTGTCAGAAAGTTGGGTCTTACAGCAGGACAATGACCCAAAGCAGACTTCCAGAAATGGTTTCAGACAATGAGCTGGAGAGTTCTGAAGTGGCCAGCAATGAGTCCAGATCTAAATCTCATAGAGCAGCTGTGGAGAGATCTCAAACAGCAGCTGGAAGCAGGAACCCTTCAAATCTTGAGACCTGGAGCAGTTGACACAAGGAGAGTGGTCCAAAGTTCCAGTAGAAAGGTGGAAGAAACTCACTGATGGTTACGGGAAGCGACTGATTTCAGTTATTTGTCCAAAGGGTGGGCTACCAAATATTAAGCTGAGGGTGTCAGTAATTCTGTCCAGTCCATGTTTGGAGTTCTGTGTGGAATGGATCCGATTTGGCATTTTCTCTGCTTTTTTTGTGCTGTTCCAGTGCATACAGAAGAAATAAACATGGAAATACCAAAGAATTTATGACTGCAACTAGTTTCTGGGAAAAGTGGTGAATTATCTGATATAAATGCAGGGGGAACAATATTTTTGGCCATGACTGCAGTTGCTTTTTGCTGTGTCATATACCTTGATAAATTCATGCAAATCATGTAGCTTTACTATGAAACTGGGTAAACGTGAGCCACTGTCATCTTGGCTGTGGCGTAACTGCAGAACAGTTTCCAATATGTCTGTTTGATTGATTTGGTCGCTGTTCTCTGCCTGTTATCAGTTTTGATTAATCTGAAAACAAAATGTAAAAATACAGTTCATATAAATGTCAACATGGTTTTTATTTATTGTGGTACAATACTATTAAAATGCACCAAGGAAAAAAGTGAAAATAATCGTGCGGCACCCTTGGCTGGTTCTTGAAGTACCCAAGGCTGCCGTGGCATCCATAAGGTGAACGATAGACATACATATAATATGCCATATTAATGATAGTATTTTAAAGATTGTGTATTACCCAGCAGTTGTTTGCATGCTAAGGTTCAGACCTCTGTTGTTTTGCTTTCAGCCATGCTTGGCCTGATGTATGTCTACTGGACACACCTGAACATGTTCCAGACTCTGAAGTACCTGACAATTATTGGTGGCGTGACTTTCCTTGCTGGAAACCGCATGCTGGCCCAAAAAGCAGTGAAGAGGTATGTCTCCTGATGGTGATTGGCACAAATGGTTCCTAGATTGTCATTAATCCCAGATAGAAAGCCTACCCTCTTTCAGATGATGAGTACTCTGGTGCTTTGAAGCCTCTTGGTAGTTCTTAGCTCCAAGCCTGAGGGGAAGTGCCAGTTCTATATGTGCAGCTCCTCGGTTAATCCCCAGAGGCTGATGGCAATACAAGACCCTCTGCCAAGAGCTTGTGCTTACTTGGACCAGAAGAGGAACATCTGCAAGAGTGATTATCTGAATGGGCAATTTCTTCACAACATCACTATGTAGAGTCCTCAAAGGGCCTGAGTGAGCAATTTGTAGCCTGTGTCACTGCCTCAAGATGTCAGTCTCTCTGTAATTGTCCAAGATGTACCTGCTCTTACAACAGGCCATGTAACCCTTTAAGTAGTAGAAGATTGCATTTACTGGTGTCACAAATGTCATTTTTCTCAGTTAGGACTTTTTCTTCCCTCCTTCCTGATGGCCTGTCTCTGTTTAACCCCCCTATCCACACCTCGCTGTCTCTTTACTCCTCTTTCAGGATTGCTGCAGAGCAAAGTAGTAGGTTGGCAAAGTATAGGAGCCTACGATAAAGCCCCTTTTATAACAAATGAGTCGGTCGTGCTTCCAGGAAGATGTAAGGGCAACCTCAAAAACTGCATCTACAGTGCATCTCTGTATTGACTGGCAGCATGCATGGCTGTGTGATGCTCGCTCATTCTAACTCCCAAGTGTTCACGTGTACTTGCTGCCCTCCCCCGGTTTGCCTCTTCACTCATCCCACCATGATCATTGCAATCATAGCCATACCAGCACTTTGGTAGTCCCTCCATTGTGGCCTAACACTCATAGTTTGAATGATGTTCTTTGTTCATGAACCAAAGTGTGCATTGTCTGAAACTTGGACATTTGTCATCAGTTTGTGTTCCTGGTAAATTGCATTCTGTTTGTTGTGGAAAGGTGCACATGTAAGAATGCATGACCAACAACAAAGATCAGGTGAGGAAGGTTTTCATTCTTCTCAGGATCCTAATAACTGCTTATTTTTCTCTCTAACAGAACTGAGAAAAAGTAATGGCAAGAAAGTGAAAAGAAGATGGTGATGAAGATCTTTTGTTTCCAAGGAGTCACTCAACAAAATCAGACTTTAAAAATGGCACGGCAGTTCAAGAATCCAGTCGACAGTTTAAACATGCAGTTTTTTTGTGTGTGTGTTGCCAAATGGAAGAATTCAAGAGATGGTAGCATCTCTGAGGACAAACACTCACTGACAGGTTCTCCTCCTGAGGGCTGTAAAGCTACTGATAATTGCACTTCATCTTCCTGTGAGATTTGTTTTCTTCTTGTCCAACATGCAAGTGTTTTCTAAATGAGTGGGGATTTTTATTTGTGGATTCTTGGTGGAATTTGGTTTCATTTGTGCTTTTTGTGCAGTCCTCTTTGTTGTCACTCAGTGCCCACATCACCTCAAGTTGGAAGTAACATGTTTCACCTGATAAACCACTGGCAGTAACACAGGATTGTCACTACTTATGCCCATATCAGTTTGCTTGTTAGATGCATCAGATGTGTAGGAGGATACTATGTGATCCAGTGTATGCTCCCCAGAAAAACATTAATAAAAAATATGGGCAATTTGAGGACATGATGGTTTTGTAATGAAAAAAAGAGGAAATAAAGACATTGAGGTGAATCAAAGTCTGTTTTTGTTAGTAGAGGACAAATGGGAACCCAGAGCATCTTTTTACAAGATCTTCAGTATTTATGCTGAATGGTTTCAAACAATGAAATTTGAGTGGAAAACTGAGTTTGAGAAGACACAAAAGAAACTGGTCTGTTGAATACTGTATTTTGTCTTGCTGCAGAATTTCCTTTGTGTTTACCTTTTAACTGTTTTCTTGCTTACAGTGTTTAAACATTAACTTGAAATTCATTTTGTCACAGAAGGAGGACTGTTCTCTTCCTGTATGTTGGATATTCCTTCCTAATGCAACTGTGCCCAGTTAAAAGTCTTGGAATAATTTCAGAGAACAACTCTTGTTCTTATATGCAAGTGACTATTAAGACAAATGTTACTGACTCTGCACACCCACAAATTGAAGCTGAAGCAAGTATATTGCTGTAACATTGCTGAGCAACAGCTACTGTGACTATAAGTGGCAATTACAGGATAATGTCGAATAACAGAAGCGAGTAGTCATAAAATCAGAAACTGAGTAATTTCAGTTGTATGGCAGTCTGTCTGCTAATGGTACTTGTCAGCCCCATAAGCTGCTGCTGTTTACACTAGAGCAACCAAGGGTGTAGCTTGCTAGCAGCAAAAACAGTACTAAACTGAACATGGGTGTTTTATTACTTAGGATGAATGTAATTTTAAAAAAACATTTATGAATGTCATATTTATTCTTTGAGGTTTAAAAAAGTGTTGAATCAACTCCACATGAACCAGACATCATAGTAGGAAAGGCACAGGTGTAATTAATTACACTAATGAGCAGGCAGTACAGTGTACTGGAACAACCTGACCATTACTGATGTTTATCTCCCTTGTTGTTTGAAGAAGTTCTATTAGGAGTCCAAGCCTAACAAGTACAGGCATCATCATATACTCATGCATTATGGTTCCTCTCTGAGTGTTGCATTGTTACATAGAATATGTTCTTGGATAATTATGCAGCTGGTCGAGGTGAACTCATTGTACATAAAGTACGTTATATGTCAGTGGATATGTTAATATATAGCAACACATTATATAAGCTGATCATATATTCAAAGCCAGGTGACTAACTGTGCAAAAGTGCAACTGAATAGGAGTCTCACATACTATTTAGTCACTCATCGCATCCTGTATGATTTTTAGATAAGATCTTAATCTATCATGCAACTATAGCTGTCAAATACATGTAGGGATACACAACAGTGGTACATTTTTGTCTAAGATGCTGTGAAGAACAAGTATAAATGAAAACACTGAAAGTATGAATACCTTAAAATGGTTTCTGTCATGTAGTTTTCACCGCTGCCTAGTTGATCATGATCACACTGGTTCTGAGATGCCTTGACATAAAAAAGTGCATTGTTCAAGATTTTATTCCCATGATTCCCTGTTGGCATTTCAGTAGCTATTTAAAAATGACATAGTAGTATTTCCATTAAAGTGAGACTACACAGCTTTGTTTCTCAGTAACATGTCTTCCACAGTCATTAGCTGATCTGGTCTGTCTAAATTATTTACAGCTTTTAATAGACAAAAAAGAACAATATCATTTGCATCTGTAAAGACCAGGATGAAGGAATAAGCAGTGATGGATGAAAGTTGCAGTGGCGACGAGCACTGGCGGCGTTCAGTTCAATTCACCAGTCTCAACTCAGCAATCTGCAAAGAGGACAGACTCAGGTTAGTGAAAGAGCAACAAGCCCTTAGGGATGAAAATGTTTTATTACAGCTCTTTGTGGTAAATTAATACCACTTTGTGGTATTAATTTACCTGGGCTTCCTCTGTATCTCTCATTGCTCTGGATGGATGTCAGATCTTCTTTGTAGGTGCATTCATAGATATCTGACTGGCGTTTCAAGTAGCTCTCCATTTCATCTCTAGAGAAAACACCAGTAATTCATGTTACATTGTGTTATCTTTGAAAACAAACTGCATTGCCTCTACTGGATTTGCACATTTTGGAGAGACATCATTGTTCTAGTGCTACTGTACTCACCCCAGCCGTTTGCCCATGATTGTCTGGAGGAACTTCCTGGCAGAGATTTGTCCCAGGACTTTCCTGTAACCATTTGTAAAGACGGCATCAGCGTGGCGTCCTGATCTACAACCACAGTAGTGGGACAAAATTTATTTTGCATCAATGCAGTTAGTACACAAGTGTTTTTTTTTTTCTTTCATATTTCATACAATCATAATGCAATTAGTCACCAACAAAAAGAAGTCTAAGGAATTGATGTGTTATCTCTCTGGACATGTTGTTGTAGCACATTTACAATTATAGAAATTAAAGGGTTAATTTACACAATGGGGATAAAAGGCATATTTATTTACTTAAAAGAAATGGTCAAGTCATCCAGATAACTATGGATTAATGTGCCCAGATTTTAAGATATCCCTCTGAATTTTCAGCAGTTTTCTTGGAAGCTACTTTCTAATAAACAGTAAAAACTGTTCATAGTCTGTAAACTGTCCAGAGTCACAGGACACTGTTCTGATAGGACATACTGTTGGTGAATCTTTGAAATGTAACACTTCAAAGCCGTGAGCACAAAAAAAAGCAATTCCATGCACCTCTATTGGGGTGGAGGCATAAATCTTAGAAGTAGGAGTAAAAAAACAAACAAACAAAAAAACACATGTATCATTTTATAATATTTGACATCAGCCATTCAGTCCGTATTAACATTCTGACCGTAGCTCTGCTTTCTCCCTAGGAGGACTCATGTCTTCCTGCAGCTGTTCTGCTGGATTCTTTATAGAAGATGTCATCAAGATAGTGTTCCTCTGGCCGAACCTGAGAAAGATTTAGCAGTACAGAACATTGTTTTCAAATATCCTCAAACACATCGTACCATGCTTATATGAAAATGTGTTCAACTTTCTACCGTAACAGAAATTTTAACACAGATGTTTGATTTTGGATTTTAGACAAAGAAAAATATCCTCAGCCTGCACAATGTTAGATATTCTGCTGCTTTGGCACAGGACACTGTAATTAAAGTGCTGTGTAAATGTAACTTTGAATGATCCTGACACCTTGACCCCTTTTAGCATAACAAGTGCAGAGGGCACAGCTATGACATGCAAAGTAGCCAATGAAAGGCTTAAATCATCACACGTTACCAGCATGTATAATGATGTTTTTTTAGCCCTGACACAAACCTCAACCTTGACCTCCAATCACTATTTCATTCTGTGTCTTGTTACCCATGTTCATTTTCTGGTTGTAAATGTTAACTATGTTTTCATTTCACCTGGAAAGGCTTTCTAACTATTACAGCTGCTCTGGAAAGATTCTCATCATGTGATGATACAGATTTATCTAGTAAATTAGCATTAGCATTGTAATTTGACAGGGTTTTATTAACAATTATTTTACTTGAAAGATAGAAGATAGTTATCTACAAGTGTACAAGTCTAAAAAAAAAAACTTCTAAAAATTGGTAAAAATGGAAATGAACAAGATGTGGGAAATCTGAGTAAATTCCTCAGGACTTACCTGATAGACGGGTAGAGAGGGGAGCCTGATGAAGACACAACCAGGCAACAAAACAGCAGCAGTGCAGCTTTCTCCATCATCACAACTAGTCCTGGAGAAAAATGGACAGCTAGGATATATAACAGGAGTAGAAATTACATTAGAAAAAAAAAGATGAAACCGCATTTTCCTAAACCAGCCTCATTGCTATGCAGAAGGGCTGAAGTTGCAGCAGACAGAGATGTATACTGTGATGGAAAATATTAATATGTCATTTAAAAATTTTAACATGATCAAAGCACAGATATTAAATTTATACACACAGACATTTATACTGTTTTGCCAGAGTTACCTTGATATTTAAGGCGAATTCGGAGCGTCCCTGCAGTTCCTCTTTATTTGGTTCCCTCCACTCTCATCATCTCTCACTGCCAGGAAAGACTGAACAGAAGAAATCCTGGAACAGTGCTGTTTGTTACCACTGAATCCATGGTCACTTTATACTGAACCTGTAGCTCCCAGACACTCCCACATCACGCATGAGCTCTCTCTCTCTCTCTCTCTCTCTCTCTCTCTCTCTCTCTCTTTCTCTCCTTGATCTGAGCCACCTGTGTGCTCTCTCATTCTTTTTATCCTTCTCTTACTTTCTCAAATTGAAGCTTGCTTTATTGGTATTACCACAATTAAAACACAGAAATGCCAAGGTGAGTTGTGGGAGTTGTGGACATTTTACAGTGTAGGTTTAATAACTTGGACTGGTTAAAAAAAGAACAATCAATCAATCAATAAAGGTAATGTTATACACCCATTATGAAAACCGTTCCCTAAAATAATATTGCTTGTCAAGCAAACTGAATTGCATACTTAGGACTTCATTTCAAAGATTTTTGCCCAATGGAGTCTGGTGGGGAAAACAGACATACAAAAACAAACAAACAAACAAACAAAGGCTACAGGCTCCAGTGTTTTAACATGTATTTGGTGCTGCAGTTTGGGTGATAGCACACACATTGTTGGGTTAAGTTGAAGTGAAGTTAGATGCCACATCCTCACCTCCACGCCACCCACCCTCTTCCTTGGACTATAACATGTACCTCCCAAGGGTTCTGCATTTACGACAAATTTATGATTTTGTTTACACAGGTTACTAAAGGGTCCCTTTTAATGTTTTCGACGACATGCGGAACGTTGTTTTAAGTCATTTGGGGTTTAGTCGAACCGTGAAGTTGAACGTACCGGGGGACGTATTTGAGTAACGGACAATCGGAATGCAAGAGAATTCACTGATACCTACCTTTATTCTTGGTCAGCAACTTGTCTGTTGAATCAAACTTTTTCTCTGACATGCTCTCACAACTTAAACGAATAATAATCTGAGTGAGATACGGAATTGGCACCAGACACTACGCTGTCTCTAAATTACCCAGTGAAAAATAATTGCTTCTGTATTTAGCACGCGCAGCTTAATTCGGATTAACGCTAATGCCACACAATTATTCTTAAAGACAATTTGGGTAACGTTAGTTACACATTAGTTGCTATAAAGTAGAATTTTGTAACCGTTCGCAAACTACCATCATTACCCAACAATAACTTTTTCATACGCCTTTTGCTTTCTCTTTATAACCTTAACTTCAAATGTGGAGATGTCACTCTCGATGTTAAAACAGCTTTGGCTCCACATGACAGTCCTTGAATGACATGTATCCAACCTAGCTAGCTGGTGCTTATACACTAATGTACTTCTAAAGATAAACAGGGGATAAAATGTTATCTACTAACATTAGGCAGTTCTAACAGTAGCTATCTCCTGTATATGGTTGCTCCATTATAACTGAATCCGGGAGGTTGCTAGCTAGAAAGTCTTAGGTCTTGTGGCAAGCTAACCCAGCATGGAACATCTCAGGACTTTTAAAACTTTAACGTTACTTACCATTTCTCAGCACTGGATGCCTGTCAGATGTGTCCAACCCAGATATTGTTCTGATTTAGCTAACACCAAAGTCACGCCAAGAGAGAGGAGGGTAACTGGAACTTTAGACAAGTTCAAGAATCAGTTATCCTCTGGTCCAACTTTTCAGGATTTCATCAAAGGAGTTTCAGTTCCTAAGACTTGTGCTAAAGATGGACAGTACTCACAGAAACATGCTTATCTTTCTGAGGACTTGAAGATGGGGAACTCAAGGAAAGGTGTGTCTGCATGGTTGTTAACCACTGGTGCAGTTAGGTTTGATTGTTTGGGGTAAATGCTAAACACATTTGTCTTATTACAGTGTATTTTGAAACCTATGGATGTCAAATGAATGTAAACGACACAGAGATAGCCTGGTCCATACTGCAGAAGAAGGGATATCAACGTACGCTTACCTTAAATGAGGTACAGATGAGTTCTATATATATATTTGACAGCTCGTAATTTATGTCAGCACAAAAAGCTTAAGGTGCCTTGTGCTCACAGGCAGATGTTGTCCTGCTGGTAACATGCTCCATAAGGTAAGACAATTTTTCAAATTTTAAAGAATCACCTTCAAAATACCCCATTCTCAGAGACTATCTAAGAAACAGTGTTTTGTAGTGACAGTCTTAACATTTTTGCAGTTGTACAACCCATGGCATCAACAGTTTTGCTAGACCGAAACTGGCTCAGAGAGGTCCTTTAACTAACCGAGACAAATACACTCTTGTAACAGAGAAAAAGCTGAACAAACAATCTGGAATAGACTACAGCACCTGACAGCCATGAAAAAGAAACGCTTAAAGACCCACACACCAATGAAAATAGGGATTTTAGGTAAGTTAGTTCACTAATGTGCACTCATTTGACTGCTTTTACATAGGCTGTATTAATGTGTGTATTTTTGTCCAGGCTGCATGGCAGAGAGGCTAAAGACAGAGGTTTTGGAGCGGGAGAAGCTGGTAGATGTTCTTGCTGGTCCAGATGCGTACCGGGACCTTCCCCGCCTCTTGACTGTAGCTTATGACGGTCATCAGGCAAGCAACATACTGCTGTCATTAGAGGAGACCTACGCTGACATCATGCCTGTTCACCATGCCCCTCAGGGATACAGTGCTTTTGTGTGAGTGTGTGGCTTATTTACAGAGCAACTCTAGTTTTTGGAGAAAGTTTTTCACCCTCCACACCCCCTCCTGTCAGTCTCATTTTCTACACCAACACTGTTTACAATGTGAAGCCAGTTTTGACCTGGCTGATGCTGAAACAGTCAGGAAAGTAGTTTTAAAATAAGTTAATTGCTAGATTTGTGCCCTAGACCTAATTTCTACCTGCTTTTAACTTTTTTTTCCAGTTCATTGTCTTTATATCTAACAACTGTCAGCCCCTCTCTGGGACCAGCTGTTTACCCTGCACCATTTAAGACTGTGCTTATGAGGCAGCCTTGATCCATCAACACCCCATAATTACAGACCAGTCTCCAATATTTCATTTTTTTTATCAACATATTAAAGAAACTTGTGTGCACATTTCAGTGATTTTATTTAAAATGTTTTTGAGCCCCCCATATTGCCGATACAGCCCTCGTAACAACTGTTGATAATATTAGGTTAAATCCAGATGCAATAAACTTAGCATTGATCTGAGTGCTGCTTGTGATGTAGTTGAACTCAAGATCCTATTAAAGGTGGGGACACTCAATATCTCTTGGGTCCACTGTGAACGGGATTTGGGCTTGACCACTGATCGAACCCAGCTGGACCGAGTCTGTACCATGTTGGATCAGTTTCTGTTCAAAGTTGGCAGATAAAACTGTGTAGTGTTTTAATCTTTAAGTCTTACAATCAAGTTGTTGCCAGTTGTTCCCATAAAGATGTTTTTTTTTTAAACATGTTTAGTATTTGTAAATTACATCTGCAATCAATTCTTTTGGTCTTTTATCTCATTTTCTATTTTAATCTATCTGTAAAGTCATCTCTAAAGCAGTTTGAGCTGCATTAACCTGTACAAAAGGTTTTATACTTGATTTTGTAACTTCTGATGACTCTGTGCCTTTGCCTTGACAGGTCTATCATGCGTGGCTGTGACAACATGTGCAGTTACTGCATTGTTCCCTTCACCCGAGGGAGAGAGAGGAGTCGACCTGTCAGCTCCATTCTTGAGGAAATCCGTGTGCTCTCTGACCAGGCATGTTATAACTTCAAAACCAAAGTCAGTCTGTTAAATTCCTCACTACTTTATCAGGTAGTCATCTACTGGCAGAAATATTAGGATAGAAGTGAATAATCGTTTTATTACACAGCTATTAGATAAAAATAATACAGTAGGAACGAGAAAATGAGGTGTATGAAGCAGTATATAAAATCATAAATAAAACAAAGGTTTGAATTAGCTGTTCACATGATTTCCCACAAAGGCATCTAATATGAGTTTTTTGGAGAAAGCGTTAACATTTTAATAAGTTAAATAATGTTTAATAAACTTAAAGTAAAGTAGAAATAAATGTGTTCTGAGTTTGTCACACCACAGGAAAATGATTAAAAAGATCACCAAGTATATAAAATTATGAATACAAATAAGGAGTATCCGACTGGTTAGAGGACCTGGGCAGTGTGGAGGTAGAATAGCAGATGAGGAGTTCTGACATATACGCTGGTCTCAGGCCATGCAAACTTGCTAGTTTAAGTTCAGCTCTCCAAATAAATTTTTATAATAATAAGTAAGTGATTCCAGCTCTACCTGACTTGTTTTTCTTGTGTGTGGTGGATGTTTTTTTTTTGTTTGTTTGTTTTTTTTAAATCAGGGTGTGAAGGAGGTCACGTTGCTGGGTCAGAATGTGAACAGCTACAGAGACATGTCAGAAGAACACTTTGGAGGTTCAGACCTGACCAAGCTCAGCCAAGGCTTCAAGACAGTTTACCGAACAAAACAGGGCGGTCTGCGCTTCTCCGACCTGCTGGACAGAGTGTCCCGCATCGACCCTGACATGAGGATCAGATTCACTTCCCCTCATCCCAAAGATTTTCCTGATGAGGTATGCTTTTTTATTCCTTATGACACAGTAGCTGCTGAAAACACATTTACGAAGTCACACAATCTTATGTTAGTCCACTGTCGATGTTCAATCATCAGGCGACAAACACATGTCTGACAAAGTGCATTTTTGTTTGGGCTGACCTTCCTGGCTGTTAATATGCATATTTCTGTGTATTAGCTTTGCTGATTGAGGCTTTCTGACTTGCTCTCTGTGTTGGTGTTTACAGGTTTTGCATCTGATTGCAGAGCGAGGAAACATTTGTAAGCAGATACACCTTCCAGCACAGAGTGGGAGCAGCCAAGTCCTGAAAGCAATGCGCCGTGGGTAAGAGTCCAGTATGCCTTGCCCAAACTCATAGCAATTCAGTTTGTAAAGTGTCTTTAAAAGTGTCTTGCGTGTTAATTACACAATTACAGCTACACAAGAGAGGCCTACCTGGATCTTGTGGAGAATATCAAAAGAATCATCCCAGGTAAGTAAAGAAAATAAGATTTCTCCTTTAATGTGTCACCTTTCTCTAGGTAACCTTGTCATTAGTAATTGCATTTACTGGATGTAAGTTTATAAAATGATAAAACCCCAGCTGTCTTGCCTTTGTACATACTAAGAATCTTTGGGTGACTTGGCCAATGTTGTCCTCTAACTCAGGTTGCACATTGAAAACGGCCCTGCAGATGTTAAAACAAAAATATGAAAATGCCTTTTGCTGTGGTACAACCTTTACAGTCTTAAAGAGGTGTGTGTTTTTGGGCTGAAAAGCTCAGAATTGAGATTCCACCTAATTAGCTGTTTAGCTAACCCCATGATATTATTAACATTGGTGATGATTTATGTGCATTGTCCCATATAAATAAATAAGCAAAGAAACAAACAAACAGAAATCCTCGTGCAAATGCCAGAGCTACATTCTAATCTTGAAACGCCAGTGATTAAACTGGTTCAGTTTTTGCAACCGGCATCTTACAGACCAGCTGAGTGGTTAAGTATTGTCTTCTCAATGGCAGCTCAGGTTTTGCCTCAAATTCAGTGTGACAAATCCTGGCCACCCCATTCTGAGAATCATTTTAAAAGGAAATCTTAAAGAAATCCTTCCATAATTTGTCTGTGTGTCAGAGGTGAGCCTCAGCAGTGACTTCATCTCAGGCTTCTGTGGTGAGACAGAGGACGACCACCAGCAGACGCTGTCTCTGATCAGAGAGGTGGGCTACAATCTGGGGTTTCTTTTTACCTACAGTATGAGAAAGGTGAGCTTTTATAAGTTTGTGGTGTACATTACACCAGGAAAATGCTTCATATCAGCATGTTAGAATGAAATCCAAGAAGTTATTTTCAAAAGCTTCTCCTTTGTCTTACTCAGAAAACTCATGCCTACCATCAGCTACAAGATGACGTGCCAGCAGAGGTGAAACGGCGGAGACTGGAGGAGTGCGTCAGTGTATTCAGAGAGGAAGCTGCCAGGGTCAACGCTGCTCTCATCGGCAACACACAGCTTGTCCTGGTGGAGGGAGTGAGTACTACACACATGACACAGGGCTCCACGCTGACTACCCACCAGTGCAAGTTTCACTGTTTTTTCAGTTGTTGTACATATATCTACTATATATTTAACAAAATGCTGTGACCTAGCACAGGCAAGTTTATCATTCTAAACAGGAGTAGAGGGCAAAATAAGAGTTATTTTTCCAGAGGAAGTGCTGGAATGTTGTTGTAGTTTGTTTTTTTTTGTTTGTTTTTTACCTGCAAACAACATGACTGAAGATAGAGGCAGAGTTTCTGACACTTCGACCACTCTCCTGAAGGAGTGGGGGACTTGATTGTTTACAGAGAATTACAGAAACTGAATTAGTTATTTCTGCCTCTGCCTGTAGTCCTGTACCACTGTACTGGATTACTTCCATCTGTTACCAGGCAACACTGCTCATCTGGGGTTGCCATTTTTATGCAGGAAAGTAAAAGATCTGCCAAGGACCTGTGTGGGAGAACTGATGGCAATATTAAAGTGATTTTCCCCAAAGAGGATGTGGCTGTTCAGACTGCAGAGTCCAACACTGCACCTATCAACACTGGAGACTATGTGCTGGTGAAGGTAGGGTTTGGCTCATACAGCTATGAAATGTAAATACACTAATAATACCGATGACTCTAATATACTCATTTCAGTCTGTATGTTTCCTAATAATGAACAAGGAATTGCTGTACTGAAATTCCGAAGAGGTCATTTACTGTAGAAACAGTGTTGTTGTTACATAGGTTTTCCACCTGCACTGAGAGTTTTATTTAACTGTAAACTGTCACATTCACTGCCAGCACATACGGTATCTCTACCATAATTCTTTAATAACGAAAATTGAAGGCTCTAAAAATGTTTCTTACCATCAGCATCTTAGTATATGTGTTGTACATGATTACTGTTTCTGCCAACGTTAGAACATTTTGGTTATTTCCCATTAGAGGTTTGTCAGCTTATTTTTTTCGGTGTACTTTTCTCACTGTCTTGAAGTGGTGTAGTAGGGGAAAGTAATGTCACATAGTTTCAGGATTTAGTACCATTTGAATCTGCTTGTGATTTGTTTAGTAACTGTCAGTTAAATCTGAACCAACCAAGACTACAGACTTAAATGTTAAACTCTTAATGAATAATACCTAAAGATGCTTTTTAATCTTTGTTTATTTTGTCACAGATATTTAGTGTTGCAGAAAAATAATTGATGGGACCCCTGTAAAAATTTTTTTTATATTATGTGTTTATCTTGGAAAAAAGATATATTAGTTGATGTATTGTTATATCTGATTTTTATTTCAAATATTTACATTGCTATTGATCAGACTTTTTCAGATTCTGGAATATGTACTTAGGTTTTTCATTAGGTTGAGATGGGGATGAAAAGCATATTTCTCCTATTTGGAATTGTCTCCATACTGATGCTCATATACAGATGCTGTTCCAAGTGTTCCGATGTTTTAATAGAATCATGTCCAAGTCATGGCATGGTATCAACCATAAAATTGGAAGGCAAGGTAGAAGATAAATATCACCATCAAGAGCTTTATATGGTACTTTCAGAGAATTCATCATCTAATAATTTTATTTCTTTGATGTTTTGTGTGTTTTAATATAGATATTGTCAGCCAACTCCCAGTGCCTGAGAGGTTTTTGTGTGTTTTAATATAGATATTGTCGGCCAACTCCCAGTGCCTGAGAGGTCGAGCCCTTGCTCACAGCTCCCTGAGAGACGAGTGAAGCACTATGAGACCGACACCACAGGAAGCAGACTCATTTTTTAAGCAAACTGGCTCACTTTTTTTGAAGACACGTGGAGGCTATTTTTACAGACATTTTGGTGATGATATACTCACATTTCACTGCTGTGATGAGCTATGAAAACTGCTTTTTATTTATCCAGTCAGCATCAACTGTCTGTATATAGTGAAGCCTGTTTGGAGAATACACTTGTACAGGTTTTTTAGATGCATAATAGTGTGACTGATTTGATTTGTCTGATACAGTGGTGTTTGATTTGGTGCCATGGTATTGTTGGATTTTCCAAGCTGCAGTAAAAAATTTCATGGATCAAGACATTTCTAGAATTTCTCCTTTAAGCTGCAGAGTCAGAAATTTTGAGAGAGAATTTACCAAGAGTCAACATCCAGAAATGCTGTGATCTGCATTGGAAGGAACATGTTATTTCAGCAAAGATGACTATGGTGGTGGTATAGAAGATGAATGACTATGGTGACTGCAAGCCCTGTCCTGAGGAATATCCCCTGTTGAGACAGGACTGCGGTACCACTGCTGGAAATGTTCATGGCTCTCACATATGGCCGGAGTTGACATTTAAGATACATGAAAAGTACAAAATGATACAGTTCTGACATAATATTGAGATCCACAGTAGATCTGCATATTTCAGGCTTGTGCCTTCATGGTGGCAAGCTCCACTGCAGAAATGAATCCTGGGAGTTTTAAGGAATGCAGTTCAACCCATGAACTGAACATCTGTCCCAATCAGCATGTAGTCCTACAAGAAAGGAAAAGAAAAAACATTCAACAATGGCTAATGATTACTTTGAGATTATAAACTCTGTTGATCAGTTAGTTCTGTGTCACATTAGCCCTCATTAAAATCCCTGTCATATTGATAAATACAGCTGGATCAAGAAAATGCAGTTTTATAGAAAATGTCATGTCTCTGACCTGCAGGATCTGAAGTTGGGTGTTCACCAGCTTCACCTTTTCAATTGTAGGAAGTGGGTATCCCTTTGCAAGTTGAGCTACAAAGCAAATATCAATTTAGGTAAACTAGTCACAAAAATCTGATGTGGTAAACTGTATAGTGATATCAGCGGAGGTTTATCATAAATTGTAATTATGTAGCACAACTGATACATTAAATCAACTTTAAAATGTTGTGTAATGATGTAGATGCACTTTAAAAAGAAAAAAATGCAGACTAGACAGTCTGTGATACAACACTGAATAATAACGAATCTACAATACATACCCTAATCCTTCATTTAGAACTCATTCCCTCAGGGTTTGTATATGAATAAAAGAACTTTAAAGTCAGTTAAAAGACACAGGGCACCAGTACAGCTTCAAAGCAGGCGTGACATACAGTATCTCTTTTCTACTGTACCTATCAGTTATATCTGTTAAAATTACTAGTGAACTACCAGCTATAATTAGTTGATTGCATAGGCCATGCCTCCCACCACCCTCAGTCTGTTTTTAAGGAGTACTCAACCAACTTATCATTGAACACCTGTAACGCTGTCGGACCTACCATGGACAGTTTAAAAAGGAATCAAAATTGATGCTACAAAACCAAAGATATTGTCTTCTGTTTTTGACACATTCTTCCTCATCACAACCTGATGTCTACTACCAACAGTGTGGTGGAAGATTAGGGTGTGTTATTTGGAACCACAAAGACGTTATACAACTTTTCCCCCACATGACTCCTCAACAGACTTTGCTAAAACCGGTGATATTCTGCTTTAACCTTGCAAGATATGCATTATCTTATGCAGAAATACTGTTGTGTTTGTGTAGGGGAAGCAGAAGTGTGGGATTTTTAAATTGTTTATTTTGACTGACAATTTCACTCACCAGTGATCCAATCAGTGTTACACTATATGTTGCACATAGCTGCTGCAAATGCTGCTCTTACAATAAGAATTTCATATGGCTTATTAATGACCGGTTATTATTTGAAATGGGTGTAAATCCAGTAGGGACAGTGGAAAAAACACCTTTCAGAGAAACCTTGACTTTCACTGGTTTGAAGAAACCATTCCCATGAATAGTTAAACATACTGTAAGTGCCTATTACAGTAGGGTTTATGGGTAATTTTAAATGCCTTCATGCACGTGCTTGATTTGATGCACACCGACAGACTTGCTCAGTAAATCATACTGTATACTTAGCGTGATATACATGTTACTCACATGAAATGCACAATTTCAATAGAAATGATACACTTCTAATTCTTCAGTTCAACACGAATCCACTTATTTTGTCCCATCTAACACTTTATAGTCCTTGTAATTATACTTATGATGTACGGTGAGTCTCGTGGAGCTGATTTGTTTCTCATAAATGGTTATTATTCCCCATCCTGCCATTTCAGCAACCTGCCAGATATTCAGCCTCATCATGAGCGGACATGTCCAAGAGCGCTGTTTATGAGTATGATCAGGATGTCTAAAGGTACAGTGGCTATAAAAAGTATTCACCCCATATTTTTATTTAATTGCCATTACTTTTTAGAAACCTGTTTTCACTTTGACATTAAAGAGTTTTTTTTGTTTGTTTTTTTTTGTCAAAAAAGCCAAATTATATTGATTCAAGTCTTATGTGTTTTGCTTTGTTAGTTTTTGTTTGTTTTTACTGAGAAGTATAGTAACAGCAATACTGTCTCAGTGCTGGGACCGCAGTCACATGTTCTCCTACATTTGTCTTATGACCTGAGTATAACTTCTAAAAATCATATTGAAAACATGTTGAAAGCTACACACAGTATTTCCAGTTTGGTGATAAAAGACTGAGCAAACCTTCTAAAGTGTATTAAAACTCAGATGTATGTGTTTACACTTGTTGGGTCAGTGATTTTGTTGTGTAGGTGAAACAATGACTGTAGTAGAATGGAGTGGAAAAGTACAGATACAAATACAAGATGATTTTACCAACCTACCATCCATCCATTATCTACACTGCTCATGCTGTTGAGAGTCATGGCACATGTGTCCGCTTGCACTCAAGGATGAACTGAATAGATTTTAGTGGTCAAAGGTCAAGGTAAAACCTTGAAGGTGTTTCTTAAAATGTGCCACAAACATCCGCTCAAGGGCGATGTTACATATCTCTTTATCAGTCCTCTGTAACAACAGTCTAATTGAAGACAGCATGTTTCTCACTGGAAATGATTTTCTACGGTCATACATGTCAATGTAATGACAACTTCCCTGTTACTAAAAATGTACCCTTAATGTCCAGTATTAAAAATCTTAGAGTGTTCACTACATGAATTCTATGAACCTGGACAGACGTATGTAACCTGCGACTTGAATGGTTGGTGGAGGCACACAACTGAAGTCAGTAATTCTATTTAGCTTTTTTATTTATTACCAATAATTACCTTATTTCACACAAACCATTTGTCGTCCTCCAGAGCAATTGTTTTTTTTTTCAGTAGTAGAATGGAGTGGAAAAGTACAGATACAAATACAAGATGATTTTACCAACCTACCATCCATCCAATATCTCTAATATTGAGATAGATTACAGTTTACATGTTTATACAAACCACTATTAGTGCAACAGAGTGACTCTAACTAAAACTTTTTGCTTTAAGATTTATTAATTCACAGTAAATGAGAATATAATGAACCAATGAATTTATTATTTTGAACAGGAATGCAGTAAACCACAGTAAACAGAGGGGCAATCAAATGAGGGAATAGACTCCAGAAAGTTTTTCTCAAACAAGCAAAGAAGCGTCGAAATCCACCCTTTGCTACTCGGTCCTCACCCTGGCTGAGACTTGGGTCCTTCTGCTCCACATCAGCGAGAACCTGAACAACTGTTTTTATCCCAGGCTGCTCACTCATGGCCTCACCTTACAGGACTGAAGCACTGAGTGCTGGTTCAGCTGGAGGGGTCAGAGGAGGTGGTGGAAGTGACACCACAGCAGAATCTGGTTCAGTGCTGAGCGTAAGCTGAGCTTCTGGTCCATCCAACGCAATGTTGGTTGATGGCTCAGCACTGGTTGTCAGTGGAGTAGATCTAGGCGACACCACAGCAGAGTCTGGGTCTGGACTGGGTGTTAGTTCAGCCTGGCAGGAGATGATGACACGAGGTTCATCAGCGGGGGTCTGAGGGAGGAGAGGAGCAGACACCACAGCAGGGTCTGGTTCAGAGCAAGTTAGTGGCAGCACTGCTGGTTCATCCAACGCAATGTTGGCAGGAGGTTCAGCGCTGGTGGTCAGTGGAGCAGGTGGATGACAGACAACAAAAGGCTCTGGTTCTGGGCTGGGTTTAGGCTGCTCTGCTGCTTCAGTTTGACTCATAGTATCACTGTCTTCGACCACATTGTTGTCAGGCGGTTCAGTGGTCAACGAAGCTGGGAAACTGGGAGCAGCTGTTTGCTTTATGAGGTTCAGCAATTTGAGGCTCAAATAACACAGAGATCTCCCCCACAGCTACATCGGTGATGGTGTTCAACACCTCAGCTGCAGAGCAGCTCAGCCTCTTCCTCACATTGTCTGGAGTGAACTTCTGCCTCACCTTTTCCTGAATTGACAGGACCATGTTGTCTCTGATGGAGCGGGAGAAGGTTACTTGACAGGGCAGAAAGCAGCTTTCTGGCTTCAAACTCAATGTCTCTTATCTGCATGCTGATGTTCACGTCCCACACCAAACTGAGAAGAGGCAGGGCTTCTTCTTCATTGTGACCCTCCAGTTCAAACCCCCAGAGTTGCATTTGAAGTGTATTCTTGCTCTCCTCCACTAGCAGGTTGATCATGTCCTCAGCAGTCGCCTCAGATGGGAGCTGTTTCTTCTGCTGAAGCTTAAAAGTTCAACCACCAATGCGATCTTCACTTTATAGGATCTGATATGCCAGCAGATCTGCAGGAGGTGTTGAACAGTACCCTTATTGGTTTGTAGATGACCCCGGTTCCTTCAGTGAAATCCATCAACATTTTGTTTCTGTCCATCACAATTCAGGAGACAGTAAACTAGAAAAGTGCTAATAGAACAAATTTACACACACAGTCTGAATTTGTTTCAGGTGCAGAACCAAGGCAACTATCTGTGGTGCCAACTCACCAAACTACCAACTGTCAAAAGTGGGATTTGAACCCACATCTCCAGGAAAAATGAGGACCTGAGTGCAACACCTTAGACCGCCCAGCCATTCTGACACAATTGGCAGCCCAGCACAATCAGCAGCAGCTTAAATCTCCAAGTTTACAGTGTTTACATCCTCATAAATGATCCTAAAAATAATACCAGTGGCACTGTGTTAATATCCCACACTCCATCACAGCTGAGCACAATACAAAGTGTATTTTTGTTGAGACTGTCCACTCAAGAAGCATCAGCATCAGTCATTTCACAATGTGCCCCAAAATCCACCTTCACTTTCTCACATAAACAATTAGGTTTCATTTTTGCTTCTGCCAGATTCCTTCTTCCCATTTTATATACATTTAGCTCTGACAAAGTCTTTGACTTCCACATCTGTTTTTAAAATTAAATGCTCTCAACAAAATGAAATATATCAGATGCCAATTCACCTCCAACAGAAAAAAACCACAATATTTTACTAGTAGTCATTTTGTTTGCTAAAGCCAGCAGCCTATTCTACAAGCTCACTGTGCCAATCTTCCACCAAATCTCCCATCATTCTCATAATCTCTGATTCGCCTCTGAAAACAGACTCCATTGTATTTTACTTCACAGATATTTTTGTGCTTAGTTGAAAAACAGTGTTGCTCCAGATTCAGTAAAGTGGTGATCGAATCAAATCAAATGATATTAAATCAAAGTGTTTATTGTCATATGTACAGTAGAGAAACATGTTTCCCTGCACAATGAAATTCTTCCTTTGCTGTTCATAATGAATGCCAAACAATATAGAGTCTAAATAAAAAATAAAAATAGATAAATAATAATGGAAAATAAAGGCACTT